CTCTTTTTCCTTTAGGTAATTTCACTAAATCTCAAGTGTTATTTTTGCTCAAGGACTCCATCTCATCTTGTATAGTAATCATCTATTTGCTAGAATCACTACAACTAACTGCCTATGAATATATAGCAGGCTCCTCAGTGGAATTAATGTCTTTAGCCACACTCAATGCATAAGCTACTAAATCTGCTTCCCTATACTTCTGTGGAGGTCTAATATGTCTGCGAGGTCTATCCTTAGCAATAGAATACCTTGGTGCTGGTGATGTAGGCAAAGTAAGCAGCGTATTACTATTTGTCAATCATGAACTGGACTCATCTGTAGTAGACTGTTCTACAATCTCTGATTGTTTCTCTGAACCAATTTCCAACTCCACTTGAGTTGAATGATTCTGCTCCTCACCTTTATCAAAATTCCCAAGAGGTGAACCACGAACCATAGCAAGTTCATCAAATATTACATTCCTACTAACAACCACCTTTTTAGTCTCAGAACACCACAACTTATACCCTTTCACACCTGATTTATATCCAAGAAAAATGCACTTTCTAGACCTAAGCTCAAACTTCCCATTATCCACATGAGCATAAACCGGACACCCAGAATTTTTTAATCAGAATAGCAAGAAGGTTTACCAGACCATACCTCTTCTGGTGTCTTTTTATCAATGGCAACTGAGGGTAAGCGATTAATCAAAAAACAAGCAGTAGTAGCAGCTTCAACCCAAAAAGACTTAGACAACCCAAAATTTGAAAGCATACAACAAAACTTTTCCATCAAGGTTCTGTTCATCCGTTTTACCACACCATTCTGTTGAGGAGTTTTAGGCACTGTCAAGTGTTTCAAGATGCCTTCAGCCCCGCAGAAGTTATTGAATTTATCTGAACAAAACTCTAACTACTTATTAGTGCGTAGACATTTTACTTGCTTTCGGGTCTACTTCTCTACCAATGCTTTCCACTCCTTGAAGGTCTCAAATACACCACTCTTCTGTTTCAAGAAAAATACCCAAACATTCCTGGAGAAGTCATCAATTACTTTCAACAAGTAATAATAGCCACATTTAGATGGTACCCTAGCTGGTCCCCAAAGATCTGAATGGATACATTCAAGTGTTCCCTTTGTGTAGTGTCTTCCTTTAGTGAATCTTTCTTCTGTTTCCCAAATACACAATCCTCACAAAATTCCATTTTGCTGGTCTTCTGCCCATCAAGAGTCCATTTTTACTCAGATCCGCCATCCCATTCTCACTCATATACCTAAGTCTCAGAGCCATGATTAGCTTTCTATTAACCTTCACATCGATGTACATTAGGCCTTTAGCCCTACAAATGCGAGCATTCGATTCTTCCATCTTTACCTCTTTCGAGGGAGCATCACCATTTCCAGTAGCTCGGTTCGATAGTGTATTGCACCGGTGTGAGAATGCGCTAACTACCTCTTCCAAGTCGATCTTGCCATGACAGTAGCTTGTGGGACATCTTGCTTTAAACTCATTACGCTACTTACTAGTTGACAATATGCATTCACCATCCGTTTCTAAGAACACTTCGCCTACGATGGGGTCCTTCACATAAGAAGCACATCAATTTAGGAATTGCATCATATCTGCCCTTCGTTTCTTTTCTTTTATTCCAGTTGTTACTGTTGCTACCGTTATAGTTTTCTTAGTGGATGTTTTGATAATTCCCTTGAAAGTTACTCTAACGTGTGGCTATTATATGCTCATCTAGCAAGAAGCAAAGATATATAACAGATTGCAGTCAATAATGAACAAACTAAGCCTTATTTAATTATCTGTAAATTTCGGGTCAGCTAACAAATTTGGGCATTGTGGAATAAAATAATGGTCACGGAGTCTAATCGAAATGTAAGTCATTTCAAGTCTTAGCACATGATATTTGGGTTCTTTTAGCCTGAAGTGAGTCTTTAGCTCATTTACCAAAACATTTCTTATTCTTCCCTTTGCTGCATAACATAACCATACATCATTGTTCATAGGTCACGATATTTAGTGCAAAAATTTGGAAAACTGCTAGCAAATTTCATGGATAAAAGAAAGAACGGAGCACTGGAGTGTGGAAAACTTCTAGAAAATTTAGAAAACTATTAGCAAATTTCATGGATAAGGAAATATACTTACTCTAGCACTGGAGTGTGGACGTCCGATAATCGGGAACCGGAAAACGAAGACCGCCGCCGGCGATTTGAAAGAAAATTCCATCTCTGTGCAATTTAAGCTCTTGGCTTGCAGCGTACAGATACACCACTTCGAATTTAATTAGGAAATTGTTGATTTAAATAAGGATCTAGAGATGGCTTTTGTGCAATTTCAGAGAAAATTGTTGATTAGGGCTCGTTGGCTTTGCGGTGGGAGTGGAGAAGAGTAGAAAACCTAGAGACGAGTCATGAGAGTGAGAAGTGAGAATTGAGAGTTTACTAGTTTAGGGCTTTTTTTTTTCATTTCATGTCTTATTCCTTCTTTCATTTTGTCTTTTTCCTTTTTTTCTTTTTTTTTCTTTTTTTTTTTTATTAATGTTGGCGGGTTGGGTTTGGCGATTTTGTTGGGTTGGATTAGCTTTTGCCCACCTTTTCCGCTCCACCTCTAGGCCAATAACAGACCAACATTTTGTAACTCCAAAGTCCACAATAAGTCCACTTATAGGCCCAACATCTTGTATCTCCAAAGGCCTTGGAATGAGGCTTGGTTTACAGGTCCATAATGGGCCCAACATTTTGTAACTCTAATGTCCAGAATAAAGACCCATTAACAGGCCCAATATCTTGTCTCTCCTAAGTCTTAATGATTCCAACTGTTGATTGTCGGCTGTCAAATCCCGCTAACTGAGCAAAGATCACATGGTTCATATTGGAATGACATTTCCCTTTTGGGAAAATTTCATAATTAAGAAGTTCAGTTTTAATAATTTTAAATTTAAGACATTAAGTTTAAAATTTCGAATTTCTGAGTTTTTTAAATTTTATTTATAAAAAAAATAATTAAATATATATTTTATTAATTAAATACATTAATGTTACAATTCCATTTAATTTGATCACAAATCACAAATTTTATGTTACAAATTATTTTACGATTACAATTCAAAAA